CTGTTCCCAACCCCAACCCTGAGTCCTGTCCTACTGCTTCTTGGAGGATGAGGTGGTTGTCACTTAGGTCCCATCTGGCCTCATTTCCTTGTTCCGCCTGAAGCAGGGAGGAAGGGAAGTGGGGAGGGGATACCATGCTCTGTGGAGACTGATGGTCAGAGGCAGCGCAGAAGTGATCCCACATGCAGGAACTCTGGTGGGGAGCAGCAGGGGCTGACACTCTCCAGATCCATGTGGGAAGAGAGAGGAAGAAACCCGCAGAGCCTCCTGTGTCTACCCACTCTTTCTGTCAGGAAGTCCTCTTTAGCTAATCTCATCCCCCTTCTTTTCTCCATTGCAGGTCTCTGTGATGGAAAGTTGGGTGAGCCTTTAATTTTGTGTACCTGCCTGTCTCTATGCGTGTGCCTGCGTTCATGTCCCCTTCACCTGGGGTGCTTGGAAAGGTCTGTCTGAGGGGACAGCTGTTTGACTGAGTTCTAGATCTGTCGGTAAGGTTGGCTCCATGTCACTGAGCACTGAGTTTGGCTTTGGGGCCTGTTTTCATGGTGCTGTGGTCTGGGCCAGGCGAGGGAGTTTTGGGGTCCCTCCTCTCCCTAGTGCCCAGCAACAAGTCCCTGGGCCTGGACACTAGGGAGAGGAGGGACCCCAAACAAGTCCCTGGGCAACTTGGTGAGACCTCATCTCTATAATAAATCAAAAAATTAGCTGGGTATGGTGATGCATGCCTGTAGTTGCAACTACTTGGAAGGCTGAGGAGGAAGGATCACCTTGTGATTGTGCCACTGCACTCTAGCCTGAGTGCACTCTAGCCTGGCTAGACTCCATTTTAAAAATAAAAAATAAAAATAAAAACACGGTCTCTCTATGTTGCCCAGGCTGGACTTGAACTCTTGGACTCAAGCAATCCTCCCACCTTGGTCTCCCAAGTAGCAGAGACTACAGATGCACACCAGACTGGGCTCTGGATTCCTGATACTGGCTTCTACCCTTTGTCTCTTCCCAACCATTCTCATTGTACACTGAAACACACTGCACAGTGGCTCAAGTCTGTAATCCCAACAGTTTGCAGGGCTGAGATAGGAGGACCTCTTGAGGCCAGGAATTCAAGACCAGTCTGGTAAACATGGCGAGACTCCATCTCTACAAACAAATTTTAAAAAATTGCCTGGGCATGGTGATCCCAGCTACTTAGGAGGCTGAGGTGGGGTGATCACTTGAGGCCAGGAGTTCGAGGTTGCAGTGAGCTATGATTACACCACTGCACTCCAGCCAGGGTAACAGAGTGAGACCTTGTCTTTGAAAAAAAAATTCAGTTGCAAGAAATGGATCCATACAAGGGAGAGCCCCCCACCAGAAAATGGATTTATCTTTTGGAGGGCAGACTCCTTGTAGCACATTTGGAATTTGCTCCTATGGATCAAGCAGTCAACCAAAGTTTTTATTTGAAAGTTTTGAGAAGGTTGCATCATGATTTGCAGAAGAAAATTCTGAGTTGTGGCATACAGGTGACTGGTTCTTCCACCATGACAACGTGCCTTCCCACTCTGCTCTGAGTGTTCACCAGTTTTTGACCAAAAATGACCCTATTCACCTGATCTCTATTTATCTGAGTTGTGGCATACAGGCGACTGGTTCTTCCACCATGACAACGTGTCTTCCCACTCTGCCCTGAGTGTTCAGCAGTTTTTGACCAAAAATCACCCTATTCACCTGATCTCGCCCCAAGCGACTTTTTTTTTTTTGTTTCCCCTGATGAAAAAGTCCTCAAAGGGAAACATTTTGCCAGTGTGGAAGAGGTGAAACAAAAACAGCAGACGCACTTAAAAGGCATCAAAATTGATGAGTTCAAAAACTGTTTTGAGCAGTGGAAAAAGTGTCTCAATAGGTGTATTGCATCAAATGAAAAGTACTTTGAAGGTGACTGAAGTTTAAACGTGTAAATACACGATTTTTAATAAATTTGTTTTTGGGAGTCTCTCTCATACTCAGGTAACTTTGAGTAAAGCAGGCTTATTGAAAGATAATCCCGCGCCTTTGGGAGGCTGAGGTGAGTGGATTGCCTGAGCCCGCGGGTTCGA